TACGTTCTTAGCACGTACATTCACGAAACATTTGGAAAGTGTTGTATTAGAATGTTAGCGTTTTTAATGGTTGACTTTATTTATTATTTATAGTAGACATAGACGTGTTTATACGTCTATATTACTTGCAACACCGCAGTTATACTTAATTAAAAAAAAAAGTGATACGATCAAATATTGTATATGTAAAAGCTAAAATATATAGAGGATCTAAGAAGTTCACATATTACTCCGCAATTTGAATAAAACTTCACTTAATAATAGCATTAAAATATGATAAGTCGCAAAAGTTAAGCAGCTTCAAAAATAATACCGCGCTCGAGAAGTACCCCACTCAACTTTAATGGCGAGCTAGACGAGGATAAAATAATTAAAAGGCTTTATACGCCAAAACTTACTTGTTGAAATTTAAGATAAACTTTTATAGTCCCGTAATAAAAATACTACTTTAGCGTACATATCCTTTTTAATATTTCACGAAGTGTCACCTTATTTTCTGACAAACGAAAACACCCCTGCGAAGCTTAAACTGAATAATTTTTTTTGTCGGCAAAAAGAGTTAAGAATATTCTGTATATACGTACATAATAGTCAATCCTAATATTGCACGTTCGTAATCGCGAGTGAAAAGGGTGAAAAACGCGTTTTAAAATTGGAAGTAAGAGAAACGTAACTCGTAGCTTATCGTCATCTTTAGACGACGCTTTCCGTCGTAAGCGAATAGCGTTGATGCACTTTGGTGCAGTGGACCGCGCGCAACGTGTCATTATACATTCCTCTTTGCTCATGCCAAAGGTAGGATGCATGAGAAATAGCGGTGCGTGGAATGGAAAAACAAAACTGAGAACCGCACACGTACTGAAGGTAGAGTGCGCAAAAGCGTATTTATATACGTGTTGGCTGCGCGCGTATTTATCTAACGTACGCGTTCGTATTTCGCTACTACGGAGATTTCGGAGCGCGAAGTACGGAATTGCCAGTTTAATACCGATTCTGCGTGCAAATACACTCCGAGGGGGCGGAGGGGGAAGGGGGACGGGGGGAGGGAGGGAGGGAGTGTGTCGACGGTGGTTTGCTGTTTGCGAATTAGGTGCAATCAAATGCAAAATCACACCGGCAAATATCACACGATTTACCAATCACAGACTCCCGCAATTAATTGCTCGGCGCGATATGCTGTTAGCAAAGACTGCGCTGAGAACCCTTGTAGGAACCCTTCAAGACACCATAATTATATACACCACCTTGAGACTGAATTTTCACTGTATCTCGGCTTTATTCCGCGATGAAGATGCAATTTTATAAAGTTTATTTACTGTTGAGATATCACTGCTGCATTTTGTATTTAACGAATTATTACGTTTCATACACGATATACAAAAACATAAGCAAACAGATAAAAATTAATAAACATTACGTATGCGTTTCATATGCGTATTCGTCTTTTAGATGCGTATCCCTTTGCTTATATTTTAATTGAATTTTTCTCGTGACAAAGGATACGTTGAAAATTGTGAAATTGTCATAACATTTTAATTTTCAATATTAAAGTTTTATAATTAAGTCTCAAATTAAATATCAGCCCAATTAAATGGCTACATCTGAAATTCTACTAAGAGTAAAAGTTCTCGAAATTCTCTCTTTGTAATCTAGAGAGTCATTTAAATGAAGAATCTCAGTTATTGCGAGGTTGAATTCTATAGAAATAATCATTTATTAGATGATATATAATTTTAGCACAAATAAAATAAATTTCCGGCTTATTAAGAAGTCAATCAGAGTTAACGTGGTGGAAACTATAGCGCGCATTAATAAAAGCACGGTAATAAAAGAAGAACTTATAGCAGGTGTAAGTCAGTTCCAGTGTGAATAAAATATAGCCGGCGCGTCAATCATGCGCCGTCAGCTATCACCTCGAAATAGGAAATGTGCGATAATTGCTCCGTTCACCCGAGTTATGTACTTAACAAATCAAATTGCTCCTTCGGCGAATTGACGTTTAGCCTTTAAGCAGCACTCGTTTTAGCTATTAATTTAGCCAAGCTTAAGCTTTTCCATTACTGAATTGCTCGTTGCACACATCATTTTCGACATTACGCTGAAGTATTTATCCTGTACAATCAATATGGACTATGAGTAAAAGTGGTTTAATGAACGGCTAAGTACACGCAATGACGCTAAAAAAACTATGACAAATATGATTAGGAAAAAAAGCCTGTAGAATTTATCGACTCGAACGTTTGTTTCTATTTTTTTATAAAAACACAATACGAGGTATTATATAAAAAAGATACTTCTCCTGACTTTAAAATTTTAAATGATTGCCCGCCGTAGCTATTTTGATCTACAATAGCAACGACAGTTTAAGGCCAGACGAATAACGTGACACTACATGAATACTAAATGTGATTCTACTTAAAAAGATACCTTCAAAATAGTATCATTATTTGCAAGTACAATCTATTTAAATTGTCTGGTATTTTGGCGGCCAATTTATACCGTTTTGTTAAATAAAATAATTAAAATAGCGCAATTATAGCAAAAAAATTGGAACAGCATGATAATCGTGTGTGAACTTATAACATGAAAGCTTTAATTTAGCAGGAATGACAAAAAATTTATGTTTTACTGATTATTTAAATTCTCAGTACTTTTAACACTTTTGTTTTACTCAATAATCTTCATATAATATACAGTTACGAGAACAAAATATTATCAACTTATAAATAATAATTCTCTCACAATAAAAAAATTAAGTGGAATCTTTATATATTCGTGTAAAATACTAGTATATTTTAAGTAGAGGTTAAGAGAGGATTTTTATTAAATTGGTTATTTAAGCATATAATTAATGATGTCCGTGTTTTTCAGGTTAATAAAACTTTCACAGATATACAAATTTAATTGAATACCTAACAGTCTGTCTGAGAAAATAATAAAAAAATAATAGAATAAAGATGGGACAAACACTCTCGACCATTTCAAAATATTAATAATACATGTTCACGCGAATAGTGCTCGAATAATCGTAAATTTGCAAAATAAAATACACTTGTCCAGACAAAATCCCAGACTTGTTTTATTCGTCACAATAAAAAGTCCTCTCTGGCGCGTCATGCATAAATTAGGGCTGTAACATTAAAAAAAAATTGTAAGTCACGATCGCTAGCGCTCGCGCGCGGCTTTCATCGATATCTCTTTGCGGGAGGTATTCCGACGTAACTCACGTGACGACTATATAGATTTAAAGGGCGCGAGTGTTTATTACGGCCTTATCGAGGTTGCCGCATCGGGGTGACGCGAACCGAGAGAATGCGGATTAAAAACCGTCATGTCTTCGTCGTCCGAGCGGGCCGTCAAGCGGGATTTCGCAACTAATGCGGGACTAATTCGGGCGGTAAGAGGCGGGCAATTAACGGGCGGGTGAAGCCAAGTGGATTTACGGAGCCTTCGGTCGACGGCGTGATAATTCGACGTTAAGTCATTAGCCCCGCGCGATTACAGCGCAGGGCGCGTTATAATGGCGCCGGCGTATTTCACTGGCAGCCCTAATCCCGCTTGCATACCACGTGCCGACGCGGCGGCGGCGGCGGCGGCAGCGGTGCCTACGCCGCGTCTGGAAATCTCGCGATTAGCTGCCTTTAAATTTCCAACCAGTTTGTCTCTCGTCGTACTACGCGAGGCGTGCGAGTAATCGCGGCCGCGTGATTACAGCGCGCAGGGCGCGAATAAACGGGACGATCGTCGGCGCGATCTATGCGAACCAAGGTGTCCCGCGTGTCCGTCGGCTAAAGAACCCATTTCCCAGCCGACCGGCCGAGAAAGAGAGAGTAATTATTATCACGCGAATGGATAAGGGGTGAGTTCGCTGGACTAACTTCCGCCGTGATAATTTATACTTGCCACGATTCGCCATAGGGTATACGATTGCGCCGGGAGCGGGTTGGCGCATTCCAACAGGAAGCGGTAAAAGTAAGAATACCAATGTGCAACGCCGAGGAAGGAACAAAACAGTCAGTGAGACGGCACAACGCCGCGGACTATACGCGTTCCCATTTGCATGCACCGACTTTCGGTTACTTTCGCGTTTACCGCGGCTACGGCAGATACTCGACTAGGCCGGCGAGTGTCCGCGACTCCAATCGATGCGACAAAACTTTTCGAGAGACTCTTCGTCCCAATCAGTAATGTTGATTCGAAAGATCAACGCCACAGTGAAGAAAATTGAACGAAGAGCCTTGCACGGCTGTTTGTGGTTCCGGACTCGTCGCGGAGAATTTTACGATCGAACGGCGTATCCCACGTTCGCGATCAACGGAATAACGTAAACTCGCTTCAGGATACCGCGGTTACGATCGTTCCCGCGGGATCGGAGCGCGCAGCAGCTTCTGGCGACGAAGCGACGCGACGCGACGCGAAGCGATGCGGCGGGATAGTGGCGACTTGATCGTGGCCAATCTCGTTCGCTTAAATTACGGCCGGCTCGTAATCACCTACTGACTTTTATCATCCACGTAATAAACAAACCGCAATCGTAAAAGCCAACCATAAAATTCCCTCGGAGGAAAGAGACCCAAGAGAGAAGAAGACAGATAAAGAGAAAGAGAATGAATGAGAGAGAGAGAGAGAGAGAGAGAGAGACCGAGAAAGAAAGAAAAGGATAAAGAGAGCGCGCGGTTAAATACGCGGACCTCGTGCGGAAAAGTCATAAAAACGATACAACGAGCCAACCCTTTTTTTTCCCTGTCGCTCACGAGGATCTCGATCACGGGGATGGGGGAGGCCTTCGATCGCGACGGTTTTCGCGTCCTATAGCGATGCATGAGTCGCGAATTACGGTCGTAGCAGCAGTTTCGGAGGCTAAGACGGAATTCATTGGGAGGGAAGTGTATACCGCATAATTGCATGAGGTGCGTAAACGCCGTTCGGATCGTGCAGAGCGGTGCGTGATGGGGAGTCGTGCGTCTGCCGGGGATGATGCTCGGTAGAATTGTTTTTACCTGATGACGGATCGTTCAGCGCGGATACCCATGTCGCGACGCAGAACACCGGGATCGCGAGAACGGGGAGCATGTTGCTACGTCGACGACGCGGCTACGTCAACTGAGGAGTAAACGCCGGGCGCCGCGACGCTCACCGCCGCGACGCGGTTCCGCTTTGCCGCCAACCACGCGGGCGCCTGCGTGCTACCGCGTTCCGTGGCGTCCGCGACTTACGTTTACGCGACTCGATCGTCGTCCGCGCGCGGTGAACCGTGGCTACGGCGACGGAGACGCGGAGATATCTCTGTTTACTATCAAAGCGCGATTCAAAAGCGCGAAGAGCGCGACGAGGCGCAAACGTAACGCAATTGCGTTTCGCGCGTACACATTGTCCAACGAAGGGGAAAACTGTATAACATGCAGTCATACACGCGGGATGCCAACGATGTGAATGCAAGAGGCACATAACGATCCCGTTATTACTCTCTTTGTCGAAGAACTTTAGAAGATATTGAGACTTTTTCTATAATCGGAAACATCCACTTATCTTTTTTTTTTTTCAGATATGTACATACATGAATATTGAGAGCAATTTTGATATTATCAAAACTTATCAAAAATTGGACAAAATTTGTTTATTTTAAAAAGATACAATTGAAGCTACAACTTTCAGAAGCTAAACTGATGAAGCCTGTAAAATATATATAAAAGTTGAAAAAATGTATGAAGTGATAATCATGTGTTCAGATATTAAAATTAAAAAATTTATAAAAAAATTGAATTCATATGTTTTCGAGATATTCAATTAGTATCTGTCACGTTATGATTATCCTTCTCATATTAATAACTAATATTATGCAAGTATTGCATAGTTTAAACGTTTTTTACTTATAAAAGTAATTGTTTATATGTAAAACTAATTCAAACTAAACGCACAAATTCTTTAACAATTAATAATTATATCACGTAAAGTAATCCTACCTTTACGAAATTAATTAAAACTGTTAATGCATTTGTAATTAATATCAAATTTATTTTTTCCAACTTATATAAAGACATACGCAAGAAACGAAACTTGTTTAATTGTAAATCCACTCTGATTAACGAGGACACCTGTCGAAAAAGCCGAGAAGAAGCGAGTTTGCAGGTAATTACTTTCGCAATAATTATATTGCCTTGTAATCATTCTAACGATCTTATTTCGTTCCGCATCTGCTCCTTATTTAGCACGGACGTATTTTTAAATATTTTTGATATTAAGTTTAACCGGATTTTAGTTATTACCTCCCTCCCCCCTCCTCCCCGATACATGCTTATTAAATTCTAAATAGGAAAATGTAGATTCAGTGGAGTTAAAAATATTAAAATCGTCACCGGATGTGTCCTCTTCATTCTTAATCTTCTACATCGTTGCCAGTTATTGGAAAATTTTTTGTTTTTTTTTTTTGTCAAATAAATTATTTCTGTCAACCTTCGATTCGTAACTCAAAACACTCGATAAGCAGATTGTTCGAAATATGTATATCATTTTATATGTGTCATCTACGTGAGAAACTAAGAACTCGTTATTAAAACTCCGAACGTTATCGGAATAAATACAAAAGCAACGATCAATGAAATACAAAGCAGTTTATCGACGCATTGTTACGAAAAACAATCATTTGTTTTCGCTGCTCCTCGTAACTTCCTACGCTTCGATGCATCGGTGAATTGTTCACTTTACCACCCGTAGCGTGATACGCACGCAATATTGCTTTTTTTTTCATGTCCATATAGTTTTTTTTTGTCACCATTTCTGCCGGGTCGGTACGCGATGCACGCTCATGCAGCAAAAATCTCCTCGCGAAGTTCCCATGCGTTCGATCGTGGCAGAAAATTTTTGTTTTTGCATGATTGCATGTCGCTGCACGTTTCGATACGCGCGGTAGTGTTTTATCTGCACGAGAAATGGATCAACAAGCGCTAAATAGTAAATAAACACCGAAATCGGAAAGGACACCTTGCAGCACGGTGAGCGAGGCGCATCGCAATCCCCCCATCGACGATTTATCCCTGGAAGAATCGCGATGGTAGTGGGCTCGCGTGATAATTCATGCTCGCCGCGGATACTATTTCGAGCACGCGTGCCACTTGATGGAATCGCACCTCCGGTTCAGCACCATTACGTACAATTGTTTTCGCTTATTACATGCATGCGATTCCCGTCGGTATACGGATGTAGCTAGCGCTGGAGAGCGCGCCGAGAAACTCTTCCTTCTGTTCTTGAACGTAGCTTGAGAAAATATTCTATTTGTGAGCCTAACAAGATTTGAAATTTGACGTTGCACAAGTACTCAATGGAAATTTCATCCATGACATAATTTACGCGCGATAATTTTTGCATGGAAAAAGTCGTTTATCTCTAGAATACGCGTTTGACGTGCAGCCCGCAGATTTTTATCTTCTCCTTTCACTCTAGTGAGCAAAGTCATACTATTTTTGTCTTTTTCTCTAATTGAACTCCCTATATAAAGATGATTCTGGCTAGTAAGTAGATCAAACAGTATTTGTATCAGACAAAAAATGACCGCGATTCCTGGAGGGAAATCGATTAGGCCAAGAAGTCGAAGTCGATGCATTATGCTTAAGACAAAACGCAGTCAAAAGTGTATATTTAGGGGTATAGGTACATGTATATAAGTATGGGTCCATGTATTGAGCTCGAGTTCGTAAATTTGCTAAACTCTAATAAGATTATACGGATCAATCCTTCTAGGAGAAAATATTTTGTCAATAAAAATGTGAAATGTATAAAAATTTTGTGTTACATTAATAAAAAACATTTAAAAAAATATATATTTTGTCCGACAAAATTTACGTATCAGTAGTAATTGTGTGTCACTCAATATCAATAGAATTCTAAAGTTATATGGACGCGAGAGAAATAATTAATGCACAATTCGAAATGCTTTGGACGTTTATATTAAGAGTCCTCGATATCCGGGACATTGAGAACTCTCAATGTAAACATTCGTAAGCAGTGTCGCGAATTGCTACGTGTCGACTTTGTATCATGAAAGATGAGGAGGTAGTCAATTTTTCTGACAGAGACATGCGATATAAGAACGTGCGACCGAGCCACTTTGCGTGTCAGTGATTCCATTGTAAAAGCAACTTTACCTTCATGATCTTGGCACCGCGTGCCACGACCCGCGAGACACGCCATACCATCGTTAATGCTCCGTAATGTAGTGCATTATTTTATTCGCATGATCGCGTACTCGCGCCGACTCGTCACTTCGGAATAGTCAGTAAGTATAATCTGAAATTTATGACAGTATTTTGTGAAAGTATCCTTCTCCGCTAGTTGATTTAAAGTTATTCGCATACACGACATTGTATTTCCCTTGTTTTCGTTTGTGATGTACGTGCTAAACAAAATACTATCATAATTTGATCACGTTCAGCGAACTGTCGTGAGAAGTAGCGCCACATTCTGACAAGAGAGAAAGTTAAAATTGTTAACAATCTATATCACATAAATCATCTGAAATGCAATAATCTAAATAATCTGCGACTTGATATTTTTCACATTTTCCGCGACAGCGGAATATACGTAGTCAATAATTTGAGTGTTATTGCAACGGTGAAAGCTCGATCCTCCGGTTCGAGCCTATATCTCCGTTTCTCTCCCAAGCGCTCTGGAGAACCGGGTTGCAACGAGTGTGACCGAACTCATTCGGGCGCAATTGTCGCGTGCACCATTGTACTAGGTACTCCATCGCGGCTACACGCCGGGCGAGCGCGGGCAGATGGAAGCGGATATATTTGCGCCAATCGTCGAGGCCGCGGCGATCGATGCGAAGCGGCCGAGGATCGATTTCAATTTAGCGGCCGTTTAAGCGTGCACGCTCACGGGCTAACGAGCTTTCGAAAGTCGTAGATATCCGACAAGTTGGCCTACGGGGGCAAGTCCCGCCGCGGCTCACAACCACCCGCCCAGAAACTTACCGCAGTCAAGCAGCGCGAGTACCCGCGAGCATACATGTAACACGACACCGTTAACTCCCTTAACGCCCGTACTCCGTACGCCGTACAGATATTACACAGGCGCACGGGCACGCGCGCGCGGCTTCACCTGGCGGACGTTTATGCGGCGCCCGGGATCCCCCCGGTAGTGGTATAGGCATTGTTAACGTCTGAAAAGGGGATAAGAACTAAGAACCGGCGGCCGGCGCGCGCGATGGAGGGCGGCCGACGGGCTGTTTTACTGCTTTTCCACCGTTGGAGGAGTCGATGGGGATGGCGTGTGGTTCCTATTGTAGAGATTAGAGAGACCGGGCGTATGCACCTGAGGAACGGATTTACGTTCGGCAGCTAGATTACACATTACGGCCGCCGCTTTCTTTCCGCAAATCGCTTTCGTGCAAAAGCAAGTCATTCTCTCTCTTTCTCTCTCTTTTTCTTCTCTTTTTCGTAAATGCTTCCTGAAGGATCGATGTCACTGTAATAGAACTTAAGTAACAAAAGTGGATCAGACATCGCGCCGCTTCCAATCGTCGAATCGTTTGTACGGGAACACTTTGAAAAGTATACGAAAATATTTGAGTTCCGATTAATTGTGGACTGTGTAAGTTTCAATTAAATAAGAAAAGCTTGCGTGTGTCAGTGATGAAATGTAACAGTGTGCAAATATCCTTGATCGTTCCTGTGAAATTATGATCTTCGTTTATTGTTGTATACGACGTTAAATTACAGTTAATGAGACTGTTAGTCTCAAATACATTTAATTAATTATTGCGGTTTTCCGGAACATAAAGTAGAGCACTCTTGGAGATTGTCAAAGACCTTCCAGTACAGGTTTCGTAGTATCGTCTTTTTTTTCCTTTAATTAATTCCTCCCAGTTAAAGAAAATTTTCACAAACAGTCTACAATGAACCGCAACAACGAGATAATTTATCTCCGTACCTTCCTCTTTCGAAACATTTTAATGAGCATGTTTCTAATTAGATATTTATATAACGTGAAAAATTAGGAATCAATAACAAACGCACGTGTTAGAAAACCATCTTATTTATTTACGTATAATATCTCTTTTTAGACGGTATAGA